GCCCTGGTGCTCTCCTGCCGGGCCGCGCCCCTCGGCAAGCGCTCAGCCAAAGCGGCGCTCCTCCGGGCCGGGCTCCCGCCGGCCCTAGCACGCCCCGCCCCGGCAGAGCCGCGCTACGCCCCCAAGCCGCCACAGTCCCACGGCGCAAGCCCCGCCCCTCCTCGAGCGAGGCGGTGAGCGGCCCCGCCCTTTCATTTCCGGTCCAGACCGGAAGTGCGTCGGAAGGAACCAAATTTGAAACGAGCAAGGCGGCGCGGCTAGGCCTGGGTAGGTCACGTGCTCGGCCGGGCCCCGACCCGCGCCGACGGTCGTGCCACCAGGACGAGGAAGGCCGCGTGGCTCGGGCATTGGGGGCCCCGGCCTCGCCCTGGCCTCTTCCGTGCGCGGTGTAAGATGGGGATAGCAGCTCGGTGTTCAGCTCCTTACGGCAAGGGGAGGCAGGGCCTGCGAAGGAAGAGCTCCGTGACCCCGTGAAGCCGCCCGCTGAATTAACCGAAGTGCTTGATACATGCACAGGGGGATCTTGGCTTCCAGGCATAGGCTCCATAAGACCATGGTTATGAGTTATCCCAGTGACTGATCAGATGCACTTAGCATGCTATGATGAGTGTCCATTTTGGGGTCAGACTCCCTGAGGCTTGTTTGTCTCTCAGCAGAAGCCAAGAAGAGTTACTTCCTTGATTGTGTTACAAGGGCCGCCTGGATACTGTCACCATAGAGGATGCCTATCCGTGCCCATTGTACTATATGCTCGGATTTCTTTGATAACGAGAAGGATGTGGCAGCTATCCACTGTGGACACACATTCCACTATGTATGGTAAGTAGAAATGGGAAAGTGGGACAGTTAGTGGGGGTGGAACATGCATTTCATGCAACTGCTGAGTTGACTTCTTTCTTCCCTGAGAGGAGGGATTATCCAGTGACTAGGATTGCAAAAAAGCCTGGTGAGACTTGGGTTCAGTTTTCATCTCTGCCCCAGCCCTGGAGCAAGTTCCACAGTTTCTGTGGCTCAGTTTAACTTCTGTAAACAGGAGAATATCACCCCAGGTCTGTCTTGAAAATAAATGCATTGGAAATTATGAAACACTGAGATCTTTGGATGAAAAAAAGCTATGCAAAAGCCAGCCATCATTGTTTTGATGATGTCAGTATCTCTGGGAAACTGCATTTCCAGGGTTATTCTTTTGAGAGCTGTGTACTGCTTATTAGTGAGATAATCAGCTGTCTTTCTGCATGTCAGTCTCTCCCTCTCCACTCCTGTTATTTAGCAGAGTTATGGTTTAGGGGAATGAAGGTGAAAAAGACATAAAACATATACCTTTTGACTGGCTGATCCTTCTTCCTTTTTTGAGGGGGTTGGTTGATGGGTTGACAGAGTTAGTTGGAAATCAGCCTGTTCCAGGCTTCTGAAACTCAGGCTTTTCCTGCTTAGGAGAGATCCAATACTAAAACAGCAGGAAGTTCTGTGGGTTGGTATTGAGATGCATTGGCATAGCTGTATGTTGGGAGATCTTGAATCTTGTATTAGCTGCAAGTTGGGGCTAAGGCACATCTACAAGCCTATGAGGGAGCCAAGGATTGGATGGCAGGGGGCAAGTGGAACAAGACTGGTTTGTAATTGAAGTAGTGGGAGGCAAGACTATTAGGAGGAAGGTCCAGTTATGTTGCTGCACTTTCACACTGGGAAGCATAGGGAATCCTGCACAGTAAATTGACTTACTATATAATAAGAGTGGAGTACACAATGCAAAGCTCTGTTGTGTCACTTGGAACACATTTGATAACTTTACCCTGTTTACAAGCACTAACTTCATTAGTGAAGAAAGTTACCAACTGAATATGTGCATGTTTGTGTTGGTTCACTCCCCTGGTCCATTTCAACTCGGAGTTGTTTGCTCAGGGCAAACTGGCTTCCCTCCACCAGTGGTTAGACATTGTAATGGTACATTCTGCAGGCAGTCAGCTAGGGAAAGCTGTTTGAGTGTCTGCTCCTTACTGCAGAGTAAACTTAACATGGAGTAAGATCTGAAGTGAATTGCTGGCACTCTTTAGTAATAGTGTGATGTGCCTGCACCCATAGATGAAAGAAGAAACATGCTTGTTTGTATTGTGCTTCTGCTGGAATTGATTTATCAATGCATTTGTGTTAGCGAGAGAGAGTTTTCCTATATGCAGGTATGCATGCCATGGGGCTCACTTTTTCATGCCCCGGTTAGGTGTCAGGAAGATGAAGATGCAAGGATGATGGTCTCTTTCTCTAATCAAAGAAATGGCTGTTTGTTTTTCTCCTATTTTTAGAAGAGGGTGTGGGGAACAGTGTCTTATTGTATTTGAAGAAGTTAATTGTTTTCCATCAATAACTACACAATTTTTAATATGCCCTGAGAGCGGTTTCTGAAATGAGGGTTGACTGTTCTCTTGTAGAGCTCACATTAGCTCTTCTAAAACTCCCCAAAACATGGATATTGGAGCAGGATATTCCAGGAAAATCCCAATCGTTTTGAGGGGTGAAAAGTTGAGGTGGTAGTGGTTGCAAGCATATGACATCTTCAGCTAAATCTACCCTAACATGGGAAATTTTCTCCCAGTATCAGTCTGAAGTATCTTCTTCCAAGGCAGCTGTTCATTTGTCAGTAGGTGCCCCCTAACCTTAGGGGTTCCCTGTTCCATTCATGTAGCTATAATCTCAAGTTGGTAATCAGGCACCCACTTCATGGCTACAAAATGCCTCACAGTGGGGAAGTGACATTGTTGTGGTCACCCTGAATCTGTTAGAATTTAGACCAAAGCAGGATATCCCAATTCCACCATATACTGAAATGATACAGTACCTTTTCCTTTACAGGACAGATGTGTGAATTGATTTTCTCCCAAACTTCATTGTTCAAAGTGGTGTCACTGAAAATTTTCAAAATAGAGCCCCTGAAAATGACTTCTTTGCTGGGGTCATCTGACCTCAGCAGTCTTTTCTGCCTTAGACTGGGGAGCTGGACCTGATGATATCATGAGGTCCCTTCCAGCCCCTAACTTCTGTGAATTTTCTTCTGTGATATTTGACCTCCTTAAAAGTACTGTCTATTAGGGGTGCACCAATAGAGATTTTTGGGGCAGATACTGATAGCCAATTTTTAAGGAGGCATATTGGCCAATACCAATCTGATTTCCGATATACAGCCTGTCAGCTTGAAGAGCAGTGTCCAGCTGGTAAGTCTGTTGTGGGGGAAGGGGCATGGGAGGGGGCGGGCATAGATCAAGGCCCCTGTGGTGAGGGAGGCATCGGGCCTTGGGCAGGCACTGCCCAGCCCGGCCGTGGCGTTGGATGGAGCCACGGCTCATCCGAGGGGGCCGGGGTATGCCCCAGAACTGTGTGCAGGGCAAGGGTGGGTTGCTGCTGTGGGCTGGGGCAAGGGCTGCACTGGGCTGTTCCTGGCAGGGGCTGAGCTGGTCTGTGTTTGTGATGAGTGGCAGCAGTGTTGGGAGGAGGTTACGGGGGGGGGCAGAGGAGCTGCAGCCACCCTAAAATTTGCCATAGACCTCCGTAGTCCCCCTCCTAGTGCTGCCATGCAGCCCAGCCCAGCCCCTGCCAGGAAGAGCCTGGCCCCAGCCCACCCTGCTCTGCACAGATCTGGGGCACATGCCCCCATGCTTTCCTGGAGTGTGTGCAGTGGTGGGAGATGCCCCCAGTGCCTCTCAGGCAAACTGTGGCTCCATCTCATTCCCTGCCCCAGCTAGGCAGCACCTGTCCCTGCCCTGCTCCCTCCCTCACTGCAGGGCCCTTAATTTCTCCCCTGCCCACCCTCGCAGTCCCTTCCCTCCTCCCTCCCCTTCCATCACAACAGACTTATCAGCTGGATGCAGCTCTCCATGCTGCTGGACAGTGCTCCTTGCCACCTATGTGCTGTTGCAGCTGCACCCATGCACAGAGCATTTATTGCCAACAGTATTGGCCATATCAGGCAAAAAAGCCAATTTCTGATGCAGCCAATTCTTTTTATATCGGTGCCAATCCAATATTGGACTCATGTATTGGTGCACCTGTACTGTCCATTACTGGAGGTGAACTTTCAGGCTGGACTCAGTAAATGATTGCAGCCATTCCTTCTGAATACAGAAATGTAGTCCATGGAGACTACAATTCCAGCCTGCACTGGCCACCTTTACTTTGGAGGCAGTCGCTTCCATTTTATGTATATGTATTTCTGCCTCCTGCTGAGTTACTAGTGAAGCCCTTAGAGGTTTTGGAATATACTATTGTAATATATTGTACTATATTACAAATATTGTACTATTGTAATATATTGTATTATTACAACTCACTGTACATTTCTTTCCTTTTTCTCAGTCTTCTTCAGTGGTTTAACACTGCGCCGAATCGGACTTGTCCACAGTGCAGAATACAGGTAAATCCACTAGCCTGTGTTGAGTTGGAGAAACATAGCATTGCTAGTGCTGTCAGAGCATAGGTATGGGGACAGTGGAGGCATACAGAGGTGTTAATGGAATGAAAAGAGGGTTTCGTGCTAGACTAGTACCATCAAGCTGTGTAGACTGTTGCTACTTAAATAATCTCAGTAGAAGGGCAAAGGACTAAACTTGGCATAGACAAGGGGTGGGCAGAATATGGCCTGCCAAGCCATTCTATCTGGCCCACAGGGCTCCTCCAAAAAACAAATATTACCAGCCTGTGGCTGCCCCTCTGAAAGGTGGCAAGCGGAGGGTTTTCAGAGTTCATTCACCATTAGACTGGGCAGCCTCTGTGCTTCCACCTCTTTGGAGCTCCTGGCACTCCAGCTGGGAGCCCCATGTGGAGACACTGAGCACAATGGTGCACAACTGGACAGCTAGCAAGTGGGTAGAGGAACTTGTGCCTGCAGGAGGGTGGGTTGTGGTGGGGGGCCCTGCCAAGACACACAGCCCCTGCTGCCAGCAGCAACAGCAGCAGGCAGTAGGCCTTCAGGGCACACCTGGCCTGTGGCAGGCAGAGCCCTTTGATGGTGTGTAACTATAGCCGAATCCCTGGAGCTGCACGTGATGGCACAGAGCCCGCCCAACCTGGTGGTGGACACCTTGAAACTGGACCAGGCTGGCTCCATGCCAGCATGTTGGGCTTATGGCATTCCACCATGGAACTGCACGTGGAGGCATGGAGCCCGCCTGGCCCGATGGCGTGCGACTCCCCATGGCTTCCTGTCCACGCTCCATCAGGCTGAGTGGGCTCCATGCTGCCATGTGCAGCTTCCTGCTGGAGTGCTGGAAACCCCACATGGAGGCACAGAGCTGGGCCAGCCCAGCCCTATGGTGCGCAAGTCCTGCCTGCGATACCAGGAGCGCCACATGCTGGCATGGAGCCAGCCTGGTTTGGTTTGAAGGTGCACACCAGCAGGCTAAGCTGGGTGGGCTCCATGATGTCACGTGCAGCTCCCAGGACTCAGCCAGAGCCATGCATCGTCAGAAAGCTCTGCCTGCAGTGGGCCAGGAGCACCCTGAGGGCCTGCCGCCTCCTGCTGCTGCCAACAGCAGGGGCTGTGCACCCTACAGGGGTAATGCGGTGGGGGTGTCTCCCCCCACACCCACCCTTCCCCCCCACACTCACCCACACACAATCCCACAGATGCCCCTACAAACTACACACCTCCTACAACCCATCACAACCCCCCAAAAAACCAACAAACACCCCTTTGCAAACCCCCCCCAGAAATCTCGCTCTCTCATTCACGTTGACCCCCGCACGTACGCACGCACACACACACAAAATATACAAGAGTAGGGCTTTATTTTGAGCTATTATGCAATCACCTCTATGTACACTATGTAAATGCATGTAAATCAGGACAAAAATATTTTTTGATATAAAATTAAAAATGTTATAGTAGATGTTTGACCTTTAGTATATGACTTGTTTTTTTTTTTCTGGTTCCCAGCTGGCAGGGCAGAGAGGAAGGGCTTAGTGGCAAAGGTCAGGGTTAGGGAGTGGAACTTTTGGTCCCAAGATGGTGAGCAGGGGGTGGGGCACCTCTTGTGGCCCTCAACAGCTCACCAAAATCATTAAGTGGCCCTCCAGCCGAAATAATTGCCCACCCCTGCCACAGACCCTGAATTCCTCCTAACAGTCCTTCTGGTCGGATTGGGGCACAGTGAGAAGCATGCTCTTCTCCCTTCCAAATTGTCTCTGGGTTTGGGATAAGGGCCTTTGAGCCTTCAGACATTTTACTGGCAAGACTACACAAGTATCAAATTAGGTGCCTTTAAACTGACAAATTAAGTGTCATAAAGAAAAAGGACTTGGAGAGCTGGGAAGTAATCCAAACCTGAAGCTTAGTAATTACTTCTGTTATAGCAGTACCCAGATGCCTCTGCATCATGATGGGCATTATACATCTCATTACTAAGAAAGACTCTGCAGGAAGATTCAGCTTTAAAAAGACAGACAGCTGAGGCTCTTGAGATTTATTGACTTGTTCAGTGTCATAAAAGGAATGTGGAAACATTTCTGCAGTCTCAGTTCAGTGCCGTACCCCAAGATCCTGTTTCTTAATCCAGTCTGGTTCTTACTTTCTCATCTAGGTAGCCAAGATAGGAGGCCTTGGCTTGTTCTTGGCTGTCAGCTACAGTAGGTGCTGAGCTATACAGAGGCATTGGTTTGCAGACAGGGAGCATATTGGTTTTATATAGTTTTGCTCCCGTCTCTTCTTTTCTTTTCTTTTCTTTCAAGGTCTTGGCCCTTGTTCCTTTCCTGACTTGTTGATTCCCTCTGTTCTTCACCGCCTCTTACATCTCTAGGTTACCATGGAGTTATCGCGAAATAACATCTTATGTAGCAGTAACTATGCAATTAGCTGGTGTCATGACTGTATATAATACTTAAAACACAAAGCTGAAGCGGCATGGGGGAGGTGTGGAGAGATATCAAATTCAATTACAGCACCTTCTGCATGCGGAAAGTGGTACGTAAGCCTGTGCTTGAATTTGGCATTGTGTGAGCTCAGCGTCAGCTGCTGGGCCTGAGCTGCCAGAGAACAAACTGCTCTCCACTCAGAAATGCCTGAATCTTTGTTGAAATCCCAGGATCTTAGCTGGAGTGACATTTGTGAAGCTAGAGTCTGCTGCTGGGGCAAAGATCCAAAGCGGGATCTTATTAGTGGCACCAGCTATGTGAGCTGACTATCTCCTGCCATCTCACATGGTACTGTCTTGTGATGGAATGGTAGCTTATTCCCACTGTAGCTGTCTGCCCTAGCAGCAGTGGCTCTTCCTGCATTTCTTGCATCATGCCTCTCATCCTCTCCCATGTCTCCTATCTAGGTCAGCAAAAGACATATCATCAGTAAGCTGTTCTTTGATGTTGCCCTGGAAGAGCAGACAATATTGGATGCAGAAAGCCTACAGGTATTCTTCCTGGGTTCTCCTGTTGGGTACTAGGACAGCAGCCTAGGACCACAGTCTGGTCTGCTGATGCTTCCCCACTACCTGGTTTGCTGGTTATGCCTGTATGCGTCTTAGACCTAGAGCACTTGTGCTTCCTTTTCTTATTTACCTCCTTTTGGGCTCTGTTCTTATCTACTGTATCAGCTCTACCTCCAAAATGTTTTCCTGCAGTGCTCCAGAAAGGTACCTACTCTGCTTCCTAATGGAAAGAGCCTTTTGCTTCCTTCCCCTCTTTCCCCCTCCAGTTGTCATCATCTTTGAAACCCTCTTATTTTCTATACAATTTTCTATACCATCAACAGGGATCCTGATTTTCCCTGATATAAAATTGCAAATTCTCTGATAAAACCCCCAAAATCCGTGATTAAAATTAAAGGCTCCCCACTGCCCTGCCTGCTCCCCCCTCCCCCCGCAGCCCTGCTCATGCCTTTCACTCCCCCCACAGCCTTGCTGTTGCCCCAGCCCCTGCTCCTCCAGCCCTGCTGGAGGGGGCCCCCAGCTGCCAGGGCTACAGACCCTGGTCTGCAACTCCCTGCCCCTGCTCTGCTCTGCTGCTCGCTGCAGGGCGAGGTGTGGGGCTGGATCCCCACCATGGTGTGCACTCCCAAGGGGGGCAGAGGAGTCCTGACACCACCCCCCCCTTCCTGATCTGTGCACAGGGCAGAGGCAGGCTGCAGGCTTGGTCTCCCACCTTGCTGTCCTCCTTCAGGGCCTCTGTAGCCCGGCAGGCATAACAGCAGGGAATAGAGGTGCCACGTGGAGAAGCTGTTCACTGCTGTGATCTCCACACTGCCCTGGCAACGTGCCTCCTGCACGTGGGGCTGCTTTGAGGGGGCAACCTCGCACTGCTGCTCTCACTGCAGCTGCACGCATGCAGGGGGCACATTCCCAGGGCAGTATGGAGCAAGCAGCAGTGAGCAGCTTCTCTGCTTGGCCCCGCTGTTCCCTGCAGCGCCAGGTTGCACTCACCAGGCTGCAAAAACCCTGGGGGAGGGCAGCAGGGCTGGAGTCCAAGCCCACAGCCTGCGCCCACCCTGCACACGGATCTGGGGGGCACAGGTCCCCCCTGCCCTCCTGGGGAGTGCACAATGGGCAGGGAGCCAACCCTGCCCTCCAGACTAGCTGCCCTGGGCCCTGTCTCGCTCTCCTCTGGGGCCCTGCAGTTGCATGTTGCAGCCCTGTGCCCCATGTACTACCCAGCTGGGCAGCAGCCTCAGCCCTGCCCAGCTCGCTTCCTCCCTCCCTGCAGGTGCCTCAATCCCCCTCGTCCCCACCCTTCACACTTACACGCATGTGGTGCCCCGTGTCTCACCAACCCTCTCCTGCTCCCTTCCAGCTTCTAGCAGGGTAGAACTCTGCCAGCCTGCAGGGATCTCATTGCAAAACTGCAAAATCCATGAGTTTCTCATGGCCACTTTTTATATTCCATTAACCATCTGTGTCATGGAAAATTTGCTTTTTCTGTGTATAGGTCTTTTAAAACTTACATTGGCCTTATGTATGGTAATGGGAGAGAGACATTAAAAAGAAATAGGGCAGAGTGGTAATAACAGCTCATATTTAATAAGGGGACTTAGAAGGAAGTCAGGTCTTAGACATGCTTCCAGCTCACTGGACCTGATGAGATTTCAAGTTAATGTCCTTTTTAAATAAATCGGAGCAGGGAATTCTGTACCTCTTGCCCTCTCAAAGTAGCAGCAAGGCAGCAGTGACCCTAATAATTTTAGGAAAATTGCCTTGATTTAGGGATGTGCCTGAATGAACCACTTGGTGCCAACAGCAGGTATGGTGACTAACTTTGAAAAATCCTGAATGTAAAGGGTTAAAGCAGGATATGACAGTGTTTTATATTCTAGTCAGTAGTTTCACATTGACAAAGTCCTATTTCCTGTGTGGCTGAATCAACTGTTAAAAAAAAAAAATGCATTGACCTTGGTATAATGGGACTCTTATACCCTCTTGTGTTTAAGATGAGCGTGTGCAGTGATTACCATAATTAGCATTGTCATGGCAACGGCTATGTGTATATCATATATAAAAACATGCCAGACTTCAACGTAGGTAACCAGACCATCTACAGAGACTCTGTAACAAAGAAGCCGATGACTAAAGTGCATGTGCAGAAGAGGTGGAAAGCATCTGTTCTAGCTGAGTGCTCAAGACTAGGGCTTAGAGAAGAAAAATTTTGCCTTTAGCACATAGACGAGTTCTTGCAAGAGGCACTAGCTGCGTTACAAAAAGGAAATCTGGGATACTGTCTGCCCCCCCTCCATTTGGCATCGCTGCTGTAGCCAATGGCACAGGCTGGCAGGCAGGGGCAGGGCTGCGAACACAGTCCGGCAGGGAGGCAGAACTGCCTGGTGCCACTCTGCCCTCCTGCTGGACTGCACCTCAGGCCGCTGCGATTCTGGGATTCTTGTTTTAATTTTTACCAACTGGCTGGGACTGGCCTTTGAAATCTGGGACTGTCCTAGGCAAACTGCGACATATGGTCACCCTAGATAAAGCTCTCTAGAAAAAGCTTTTTTTCCTTTCTGCTGACTTATTCCTTTTCTCCTCAACATTTCTTCAGTGCTACCACAGCTTCTTTTGGGAACTCATTTTTATTCTACCTAGCTTCCTCTCTGCTGATTCTCCAACAAAGATCTTCATGGAGATGCCCATGAGCATGGGAGAAGTCATTCTTTTGTGTGCCAGCCCAATGTTTCATGGTAACTTGTCATGCCACTGAAGAGAGAATCCTGTTACTGTTAAACAAACTGTAGGCTCTCACATGTACAACTTCACATATTAGCAAGTAGATGGAGCCACTTAGCAGTTGCAGAAAGTTGAAAGTCCTTGTATCCAAATAGTCTAAGTTGTTTCAAATAGTCCCTAATATTTAGTTTTACTGCTTGTTTTAACAGGGCACAAGTACACACTGAGAAATGCCATTATGCTGAGTGGTTTACACTGTGCTGGCATGTCATGAATAGTTTGTGTTGCACTTATCTTTTAAATCAGGGGTGGGCAATTATTTTGGGCAGAGGGCCACTTACCCAGTTTTGGCAGGCTGTCAAGGTGCTTGACAGGTTCCCCGCCCCCTGGTCACCGTCTTGGGACCAGTGTCCCAAAGCCAGCACCAATGGGCCCAAAGTGGGGCACAGGCTGGCAGGGTTCTATGGAGCTGGGCTGGGCTGCACCAGCAGAGAGAGGGGGGAGCTGGCCTGGCTCCATAGAGCCCCTGCTGGCTGGGACCCCTGTACTCCTGCCACCCTGCTCTAGGCCCTGCTGGCGCTGGCCCTGGGACGCCAGTACGGGCCCTGTGCTCCCACTGGCTCCCTGCCCACTCACACCCAGTGCCCCCCAACCCTGCGGTACAGGCTGGGGGGCAGCACACAGCCCCAACAACCACCCCCACCCCCCTCCCCGCCAGCAGGAAAAAAGCCAGTGCTGAGCGCGGGGAAAAAGCAGCCCCTTGCCCGCCCCATGGCTGGCGCTTCCTGCTGCAGGTGGTCACAGCCTGCGTGGGGCTGTGTGGAGCAGGCACAGGCAGTCCTACATGGGCTGCAAGTGGCTGCAGCTCAGGGCACAGGGTGGGTGAGGGGCCGCTTTTTCCCTGCTCTCAGCACCAGCTTGTAAGCCAGCTCCGCTGCAAGCCTGGGCCCTGTGCTGGCTCTGGGGTCGCCTGTCAGAGCTGCACACAGTGGCAGCAGCTGTGGCCCCCCTGCTTGCCACAGCAGCCCCTTCCCCACCCCCGTGTTCAGTGCTCCCTGCTGCAGCTGCTCACAGCTGACGCAAGGCTGTCTGGAGCAGGCACAGGCAGCCCCCCATGAGCTGTGAGCAACTGCAGCACAGGGTGCCAGCCACGGGGTGGGCGAGGGGCCACTTTTCCCCCCACCCCCCACGCTCAGCTTTTTTCTGGGCCACATTTCCCCAGGGTCCTCCCCTGCCCTTCCCCCTTACCTGCAGTTCTGGCACGGGGCAGCCATGTAGTCCCAGGCCAGAAGCTCCCACTGGGGTTTCCAACTGTGGGGAGCGGGCCGGGTGGGCCCTGCTGTTGTGGGTGCCCGCTGGGGTTCCCCTGGGTCCTACTGCCCTTCGTTCCTGTCATTTTTGACAGGAACCAAGGGCAGAGAAATATTAATTTTCTAAAATTTTTAGGGGTCCTGCAGGCCAGATAGAATGGCCTCACGGGCCAAATCTGGCCTGCAGGCCATATTTTGCCCACCCCTGTTTTAGATGAAGCTTAGCTCACAGTATAGACTCATTTACAGAATGACGAAGTCTTAAGTAAAGAGAGATGGAAATGCTCTCTGATAATCCAGATTTTCTCCCTGTAACAGGTTACTCTTTCTTTTGGAGACTATTCCACACTTGTAACATCTCACTGTTGAGAAACTTTCCTTCAGGCTCAGGCTCAGCCTAAATATTCCCTGTCTTAATTTTACCTTATTATTATTCTTAAAGCTTGTCAACACTGCCTGAAGTGTTTATCATTATCAAGGATCCAGGTTTTCTGTTTGCTGTCAAAAAGTGTGGATTTTCTTCTCTAAAGGAGAATAACATGGGAAACCACAGGTTTCTCTTTGCAAGCTGGAGAGTTCCAGCCTGCAAGGAGCTGCTTGGGGCTGGGGGGAGTGGGATGCACGTACATCCACGTAGCCAGCAGTACAGCCAGGCGGTGCTGGAAAGCAGCTACCTGCAGGTAAGTCTGGGTGGGGTGGAGAGCAGGGGAGAGATTGTAGCCCTTGCAGCTGGGAGCCCCCTTTAGCAGGGTTGGTGGAGAGGGGGGAACTGTGGGTTGGGAGTGAAGGGGACCAGCAGGGTTGGGAGGTGGGGGACCTTGAGTTGGAAGTGGGGGGCACTGGTAGAGTATGGCACTAGGTCAAGAGTGAGAGTCGTGGATGAGGGGTTGGGGATTCAGCTTGGGAGTTAGGAGCATCTGGAGGGGTGGAGGGCTGTGGTTTGGGAGTAAGGGGCACCAGCAGGGCTGGCAGGATGGGGTCTGTGGGTCGGGAGTGAGGGGCATCTGGTGGGGTGGAGGGCTGTGAGTTGGGAGTGAGGGTCAACGACATGGGCGCAGGGCTGCTCAGCACCACAAAATAGCGGGGGTCACAGCTGTAGCTGGACCCACATCCTGATACATAAAAGGGGCAGGGGGTGCTCTGATTTTCTATGATTAAAAAACCAAACAAAATCAAACACCAAAGTATATAGGTATTTGGAGTGTATTTTATTAAAATGATTGAGGCACTGGTAGGCTTCCAAATAGCTTTAATATTGTAAATATATCAATAAAATATTGTGTTCAACTGATACCTACATACATGGTAGTATTTAATTTTAATTGTGGAAAAATGCAGATTTGAGGTTTTTAAATCAGTGTTTCGGGGGCAGGATCCCCCCTCTAATTTCTTCTGTTTTCCCAAGAGTCTTCCAAAGTTGTTCAACTAAACCAAAATGACTGACAGTGTGAGAAACAAGAGGTTGACAAGGATAAGACAAGATTGGGATGTTCTCCTTTGCAATCTTGTTCTTCCCCCAAAACACTGCCAGTTGGAGATGCTCCCCACATTGCCTATAGTAACACTTGGTTTTGTTGCATATAACAAGGGTACACGTTGCTATTGTGTTCTGCTCTCAGCAAATATCACTATGGTTATCCCACCAGGAGAAAGGACTCGGGAAGACTACAAGCCATAAGCCAAAGTACTTTTAAGTAAGGTGAAGCTTACCATGTAGTGCTGCTTCTAATTTGATCCTCTGTGTGCTTTGTTACAGAATGAACTGGACAAGGTGAAAGCGCAGCTGTCCATGAAAGGTGAGTTCAGAAAGGAAGCAAAAAGCTTTCTGCCCATCGGTAGGTTGTGAGAGGAAGAGGCAGAGGGGATCAGCAGGTTTGGAGCTTCCTACAGTTTGTGGCTTTTAATTGGGTTTTTTCCCTATGTTAGTATTAAGGTCAGTTTGACACAGAAAATCAGAGAATTTGTAGGCTTGGGCATCACTCTTTTGTACAGTATGCTAGTTTGCTTTTATGAAACGGAGCACAGGGGAACGTAAGTCTTGGGTTTGCTTGGACTGTATCTCATCCGAGCTGTTCTCTGACTGAGGAGAAACCTGTAGACTTTGAATTCAAGTCTGGGACTTACATGACAGCTTGGGCTGCAAGCTGTGCAGCGTGTGCCCAGCTGCACAGTAATTTTTATGTCCTCTGCAAGTTTGTCCTAGTTGACAGGTTACAGAAGTCCTAGTGCCACTGTACTCCAGAGGAGAATCTGCTGAAAGCGACCTCCTTTTGTTGAATTAGGCCTGCTCATCAAGACACTCCGAGTTGACACTCAGAGTTGCGAAGTGCTCAGGACTCATTTCTAGTGTGAAATGGTAGAAGAGGAAGTATAATTGCGACCCAAACAGAAGAGGGAGAATTTTGGGGCTTTTTTAGCTGCTCAGATGCAATGGATCCCCAGAGGAGCAGGCATAGTTCGATGTGTGCATTTCCATTTTCTCATTGCTTCAAAGAGCTGGATCTCTCTAATTTTAGAGTATGTCTGAGGAAGGCAGGGAAGTGAAAGCCCTGGAGACTTGTCAATGGGTTTTAAGCATTGTCTGTAGGCAGCCTGTCATCAGAACATGAGTCATGAGCAGCAAAAGGAAAGTGTCAGTCAGTCTGAGTGACAGAAATCCAAAGACATGGGAAGGAAAGGGGTCTCAGCACTTCAAGAGTCCTCATCCTCCCCCCCCCCCCCCCCCCCCCCAAATATTTGCTAGATATCTGAGCTGAAAGCAGAGTTTGAAAACCTACCAGCATTCTTTATCAAGGCCCATTCACTTGTGAGCGATCAGGTACTGTGACCTGGTAGAGAGCTGATCTCTTCCTCTTTCTAGGGAAGAGTGCTGGGATTCCTACTAAAATGCTATTCAGAACTGCCTAGGGCCAGTCAACTTCTGATTTGTAGATGTTAAAACTGAAGCTGTTCCCCCTTTCCAGTAGAGAAAGCTTTCTTCTGACTGGGATTTCTTGCCCTCTTGCCTTGGGTTCTGTTTCTGTCTGATTCATCCTTTTGAAAACACCTTTACTACCCACCTCTGCTTCCATGGGGTAAAGAGGAGGTCACAAAGTCACTGCCTCCAGATGTGGTAGGACTAAGAAGCTAGAGGGGTTGGAAGAAGAAATAGCTACACAAACAGGTCTCCAGGAACTGTTGGGTCCAACCAGAGAGAGAATGGAACCAAGCAGGGAAACGAACAGGGTTAAACAGTTATTGAAAGTTTTATGCCCACAACTTAATGTATTCTGCACTGATCATCTGAGGAGTCATTGCTTTATATCACAACAGAACTGAGATCACAGCTTTTCATTGGTACAGAGCATTCTCTGTAAACTCCATCAGCTCAGTGTATTGGTAATCTTTCTATTCCTCAGTCAATTATATCCCTCTTTCTAAAGCATTCCATTTTTAGCACTATCCTCTGACTTGTATGGCTGAATGCAGACACTACCATTTCATTCTTTTATTCCTGGCAGCTAGAAGGTCATTATTGGGAATGCTAGCACGGGCAAAGGATAACTGGAACAATGTGACTTTTAAGACCTTTTGACCTGCAAAATGTAGGAGTACTCCAGAAAGATAAAGCTGCCTTAATAAAGTGCCATGTAGCTTTTGAGGTCCCCAGTGTCTTGTAAAGCTTTGTCTTAATGCCTCTTTTGGCTTATGTTTGATCTTACCCTTAGACATATGCACTGGTGAAGGTGAGTGTTGGCAGTATAATGCCACAGCAGTCTAATTGCTCTGCAGTGTAGGCACTGGTGCTGTTCACAGTATCATCCAACAGACATTTAAGCATGGACCCAACACAAGGTTTATACTGAGAGAACATGTCTAGGTAAGTTACCTGAACTTTGTAGTTTTGTAATTGTTAGTCTGCAGAAACAGAGCTGAGCTGAGTAGCTGGTGGTGGCATCAAGAGTTAAATTAATCCATATTGAGCAAGCTAGATTAGCACCAAACAATCCTTGAGAGGAATTTACAGCTTTTTACTGGAGAACCTGGGAGCCCACCAGTGCTGGAAGCAGCAAGAACCTGGCTCCTGGCAGTTTCCAAACCCTGTGGTTGCATGCCTCATCCTTCAGCCATATTGCTGTTCAGAATGGTGGGACGCATGGCTGCCTGATCCTGGGGTATTCTAAGTGCTACTTACGTATTTCCTTTCAGAGACAGAGAAGCGGGAGTGCCAAGCCATTATGGACTTGCTTAGGGAGACACTGGACGTACGCAACGCCACCATTAAGTCGCTCCAGAAAACCCTGGGTGAGACGGAGATGCTGTGTTCCACTCTCAAGGTACATTCTTCCACAGGCAAGGAGGCATCTCATTTGACCTTAATATTCCTCGGATTCAATCTCAAGGGCTTTTTCTCTGTGCACTGCTTTTCACAGTCCTTGGCAGAGACCTGTGCCTGCCTCTGATAATGGCTTCCTGTGACTTGTTGCCTCCATTTTTCCAATTTTGAAGTATGAGGAGAGCAACAGTGAGGTTGCATTATTATCTAAGATACCTTTTAGCTTTGCCAGTTTCCCTGCAGAGATGTAAAGGCAAAGAAGGTGGAAGGTGAAGTATCGGGAGAAGCAGTACTGTTCTTAACAATTTGTCCCAAGGCAGTAGTCTCTTGAGATGCCTTCTTTGGATCTGTGTTACCTCAGCATGGGATGGGAAAACAGTCTTCCATTGTATTTGTCTGCAAGCTTTATTGAATGAACCCAAAGTAATTAATATCCTTCACACTTTAGGACTTTGGCTGTCCTCCATGCTGTAGCTGTGGTGGTCTGTATGGTTAGCGTTGAACTCTCTTGCTGTGAAAATGGCTTTCTGCTCAAGGCCAAAGGCAGCACACATGAGAGGCAGCTGTGCACTTGACGGCATTGGGTAGCATTGGGCAACAGGAGGGGTGAGGAGTGTGCTCAGCTTACACCTAATGAAATATCATTATCAATCTTGAAGGGCATGAGCATGAAAGCTCTGAGGGAGATACTAACTTTTGACAAATGGAGATTGGTGCCCTGCATTAAATATCCTATTTTGGGTTAGGCCTGGCAGTATTCGGGTTTGGATCGGTTAATATTAATCTTTGATTTCTCTCCCCACCCAAACAAGTTAATTGAAATGTGCCATGGGAGAATTGCAAGCTTCAGTTGAGTTGAATTTAACCACAGCTAGCCCCTATTCTGCAGTCAAGTCATTAACATGAAGTAGTCCAGGGATCAAATATTTTCTTTTCTAGTCTCCTAAGACTATTTTGTCATAAATTGAGAGTAAATAACAGTGGAAATGGGTTTAAGCAGAACAATTATTTTACTGGGATGTCTCTCAGCTGATTTAAACGAATCCTAGCAAGTGGGCATGGCTGCTGTTTGACTGTGGGGGGGGAGCACACCATAATTTCTACTAATGGAGATGCCTTGCTGCCAGCCTGAACCAAGGATGGAACTCTAAATTATGCTTTATTAGTGTGTGTAGGTTAAAAAGGAGGAATAAAGGGAAAGCCCTGAAAATTTCTCTTAACCAGAAGATATATTTATCCTATTTATGTTCTGTTCAAGGACCGCATAGTGCTCAGTGGTTCCAATGACCAGGGTTTTACTATGAGGCCTGATCATAATTCCGGTCACACAAACACTTGATTTCCAGTTTTTTAGCAACTTTGCAATTGCTGCAAACAGCCCCCAGCTTATTTCTCTCAAGATGGTTGTGTTTGCTACTAGGTTTCTGTGTGCCCTCTCTACTTGCCTTTCCCATGTCTCATGTTCAAGTGGGAAACATCAAACATGGTTTGCAGCCTGTGTAGTCATTGTAAAAATCCTCTGACCTGTGTAGAACCCAGTCACCACCATCTGGGAATGCTGGATGGAAAAGGTGCTATTGAGTGAGTCTCCTCAGTAGGACATTTGCAGTTCCCTGGTAGTTTTGCATAGTATTTCTTCTCACAACTCTTTTAACAGTTTGTCTCTGTCTCTGTGGTATCACTGCATACCTTTCTAGCCAGGGCAGAAGCTAAACCAGGAGTGGGCAACATGCAGCCTGTGGGCTGGATCCGGCCCACCAATTGATTGTATCTCGCCCATGGCTGTCCCCACGGCATTCTGCATGAGGCCGAGCCCTGCCTGCTCCTGCCTAGGGCAGCCTGCACCTCACTCCTGCCCTGGCCCTGGCCATGCACAGCTTCCCAGAAGGGTTGCTTTGGCTGCTCCTGCAGCCAGCTGGGTACTACTTGGGTGCCCCTCCTCCAGTGGCACCTGTTCCTTTTCCTTGTCCTTGCTGCACCAAGTGAGGCGGAAGCTACAACAGGCCAGTTCCTGACCTAGCATGTGGGGATCCAGCTTTAGCTCTTGGCCATCTTCTACCCACTCCACCCACCCACCCAGCTTGATGAGCAGCCACCTGTGGGCAGAGCAGGTGGAAGGCAGCCATAGTGGCACAGTAAGGGCAGGAAGAGGAGCTGCTGGAGGTGGGGGGAGCTGAGCAGTACCTGGACAGCAGCAGGAGCAGCCCTGCCGGGAGGCTGTACACACAAAGCCACGATGCCCCAGGGCCGCATTGCCACAGGTAGGAACATGGGGAGCATGGTGCCCCAGGTGGAAGCATAGTGCAGAAGTGGGTAGGGCCCAGCCCTATGCAGAGTACCGTAAGTGCAGTCATAGGCCAGATGGAGGGGTGGGGGAGAATGGACACCAAACCTCAGTGCATCACTTAGGCCAGCTCTGCTGTGTGGGCCTGCCCCCCCGCCCCTGGCTTCCAGGACCCTTCCACAGACATGGGCATACACCCACCTCCCACATACACTATACAAAATTGAGACTTATTTTGAGCTATTATGCCTCAATATACACTACTCAAAAAAAACAAATCAGGATAAAATTAATTTTTTTAACCAAAGTTAAAATATAGTAGTAGATTGATATTTTTTTTTTATTTTTATTTTGTATACGATTTTTTTTATTTATAATTTGTTAAAATGATATCTTCTGAAAGATTTTGTGTCAGCCCTTGACAGCTCACCAAAACTTCTGAGTGGCCTGCCAGATGAAATAATTGCCCACCCTGGGCTAAACTGACTAGCATCAAGCCATGTCTGTCCTCCAGTAACACCCGGTGTGTTACTACTGAACATACTGAGCTGGATTTAGTTGCTGTACAGGGGAAGAATGGCCTGGTGGTAGTTCTGACTTGGGGATCTAAATCTGTCTTGCCCTGGTTTAGAACAGTGCAAGGGAAGTAGAAACAGAAGGCACCTGTGGTAGAGGGAACAGGTTAGGAACAGCCTTTGGCTTTTCCTGGCATGGGAAGAGCAAGTATCTGACCTAGGCCAGCTGGCATCTTACAGTGACATAAGTGTCTCAGGGCTCCTATCCTGTTTTTGTGACTAGATGAGCTGGTGGGAGGCTGAAGGCATATGAAACAATCCAGCTTCTGTAAGCAGAAGGGCTTCTCGTTATACCTTTAAAACACTTTAATGTTTGGCCAGTCTTTGGAATTGGATCAAACAGCATTGCATTGAAAAAGCAGACCAGGAACCTCTGAAGTTGATGTGCAAAATGGACCCCGAGATCAAAGCATAGGCAACAAGTGCATTAAAAAACCATCAGATCCCCACCCAAGCCCCCTATATATTCCATTGATCCAGCCTGGGTCACTTTCTAATGCCATATGCCCCAGAAATATCTAGACAACTAACTCTCCAGTGTAATCTGGAAAAGGTACCTGCTTCTTGATCAGGTGTCAGATATCCCACCTGAGGTTCCTGCAGTGTTTCCTATTTCATCTGCTTAACATGACAATTAAAAAAAGGGGGGGGGGAGGGGAAGGCTTAGTGTGTTAGAGGGGGAAGAGGACTGCTATAACTGGAAACCTTTTACTTTTCTGGGACTGTGTTGTTTCTGAACATAGAAGTGGCACCCGGGAAAGATCCCACACAAATCCTAGTAGGAGAAACAATTTTGAGCAAAGCCCTGGGCTGAACCACCTTGTGACTAGCACCAAAGACTTGCCATTTGTGGAAGCGTGATGCAGTTGGGTGGGAATCTAAAGCCCCTTTGATTCTGGACTGTTCAGTTGACAATTGCTTTGAGGGGCTGCTTTGGGTTTGGTGTCCCTGAAGCCCTTTTTAAATATCCCCATTCCTGCCTCTGTCTCAGAAACAAATGAAGTATTTGGAGAAGCAGAAGGAAGATACCAAGAATGCGAAAGAAGAGGCATGCAGGCTCAGAAACAAGCTGCAAACTATGGAGAGGTTAGAGCTGGGACTGTGCTACATTCGCCTGTACTTGCAGAAATGAGCAGGCAGGGCAGTGGCTTATGCAGAGGGTTTTTACAAGGGCTATAAATGCTGAACATACAGAGCTGCTATGAATCTGCGTCTTTTCTTCTTTCTCTGTTGGGGTAAGCTGCAGTGCTACATATGAGGATGTGTCCTTCTGGCCTGTCTGAGCCTGTCACCACCATGTTCCATCTGTCTTTCTCACCCTCAACACCTCCTCTCACCTGTTGAGGACAGGTTTTTCCATTAGCATAATGAAGTTGGGCATACCTGGCTTATGCCTTCCTGCCTAGCCTTGGTTTGACTAAGCCTGTCTTATGAACTCAGCCCTAGAGATGGCAATGAATTGTCTGTGGATACAGTGAATTAGTGACAAAGAATAAAACTCCGAGTTCTGCCTCCTAATCCAGTGCTTAGTCCACAAGAGTAAAGCTGTCCCTGCTCTGCTAAGCCATTACTGCTCTACTTCTTCACCAGCAGCCAGTGACTTGGGAGGATGCTGGTAAGAAGTTGTAACTTCTTCCCCCAGCTGGAGAAGAAGCAGCAGGTGGCCTACATCTACAGTAATTCTTGATGAGTCCTGGCAGCTGGCTCTAGGGTGCCAGGGCTCATCTGCTTTCTCAGCCCTGCTGCACTGCTGTTCTGTTACCTGACCAGCTGCTTCTGTTGCAGAATTGAGATGCTGTTAAAGAGCCAACGCCCAGAAGTGGAGGAGATGATCCGAGATATAGGAGCAGGGCAGGCGGCAGTGGAACAGCTTGCAATCTACTGTATCTCACTGAAAAAGTAGGTGCTGCTGGTTTGGCTGTAACTTGTGCTATCACTTTGGTCTGTAGATATAGCACTCCCCCTACAGGGCACTGCAGGGAAGTACAGTGATTTAGCTAGACTAACTGCCTGTTACTACATGGGGGTTTGACTGACAGAATCCAGGTGACTTAGATTGGAGACTGCCACACACATTCTCCCACTGTCCCTGTAGTGACATGAGCATCACTATGGAAACAATTGTCATTGCATCTAGGGGATGTTGATTGGATAAGAGCTGAGAGAGCAGTCTCTTGACGTGTTCAGAGGATGGGTGGCATAATATCCACATGTCCATGCAGAGTGTAGCATTGTGCAGCTGCAGGCCAGGTTGTTCTGTACTCCCAAATTTCTATCGCACTAATCTGCAGTGGCTCCAGATCTTCCAGGAGCTCCTTCCATTCATGCTGTGATAAATTACAGCTTTTGTGTAATTGCAATCTTAATACTGAGCTGAGCTAGCGCACCTGCATTGTTATCAGAAGAGATTTTGCACAGAAGGTACCCAAAGTGTCCATGGAAAGTCTTTTTAAAGCAAAATTATATGTCCATCTCTCAGAAAGGAGGCTGTCTCCTTTTTCATGTGAATGACGTCTTCAGATTGCAGTCAAGGGCTTTATTCTTGCTCCTTCTAGTTGTCTGGGCTTAGTCTCCCTCTAGGCTTGTTTGTAGATTAGCCTGAGTCATAACTGAGTTGCTCCCCAGAAGAGTTCTTGTGGAATACACAGATTTGCACCAGGCATTCTGCTGAGAAGCTGTGATTTGAGTTTTTGGGGGGCTGCATCTGGTCACTGGCTCCTGCTGAGAACCCTGTCTCTAATTCATGGAGACATTCATGACTTTTTTGGGCCATTTCCAGGGAATATGAAAATCTGAAGGAGGCTCAGAAGGTGTCTAGCGATATGACAGAGAAGCTGAAAAAGGAGCTGTTTTCTGGCAATAACAAGGTAAAGGGAAAGCAGACAGTTGTTTGTGAAGTATTGGGTTGATCTTGCTTCCATAGGCCAGTGTCTGCTGCTGCAGACCTGCACCCGCAGCAAAGAAAGCTTCCTGCAGCAAATATTGCTCTCATCCACCTGGATCAGTAATGCTGGCTACTACTTAGGACTGAAAAGTTTGCCTGAGCTTCCTTGTGTTTGGTGCACATGTATAATGCTGCTAGTGAGGTGATCTATTTGAGCTGTATTAAAGAGCCAAGTCTGTCTCAGAATCGTAGACTATTATAGTTGGAAGGGACCTCAGGAGGTCATCTAGTCCAACCCCCTGCTCAAAGCAGGATCATCCCCAACTATATCATCCCACCCAAGGCTTTGTCTAGCTGGGTCTTAGAAACCTCCAAGGATAAAGATTCCACAACCTCTCTGTAGCCTGTTCCACTGTTTTACTACCCTCGTAAATACCACATTCTCTCATATATCACCAGTCCCTGAATAAGAGACGCTTTGGTTTTGGAAGGTGGAATGAAGAAAAAAAGATCATTCCTTGAAAATACCAGTAGCGTGGTATTTTCATAGGGAAAACACAGGTGGTGGCCATGGCGGGGGAGCAAAAACCTGTGGCTGCTCTGTTAGCCCCCTGCAGGACAAGACAGATACTGCTGGCTGAGCTGAACTGCCAAGCCCTACTTCTCTTTTGGATCTGAGGTGGGTGAGCAGTGAGCAGGGCCTGCCAGCATTGCTGAGGGCCCCATCCTAGCCAGCAGCACCTGTGGGGCCAGCTTGAAGGATCTACCTGGCTTGAGCAGAGGGGCCAAGCAGTTTGGGTCCAGCAGGACTGTGCCCTCAACTGACCTGTCAGGCACTGCTGGCTTCCTACCTATCTTGGCTCAAGAAGAAAAGTGAGGGCCCGATTTTTCTGGAGCTGAACTGCCCAGCCCCTCTTCAAGCA